ATGCATGATATCTATTAGTTTCAGAAATAAAGAAGTAAACTGATTGCAGGAAAAAGAATTGTCAATTGCAGGGACATAAGATCTGCAGGCGTTACACATTATTGCTATTGATTTTAGGCTTATAAGTGAGTTGACGATTCAGGTTTGGTTGATAGCTCCTATAGTCATGCTTTCTAGGCGTTACTGATTTTGAGCATTGTTATTGTCATGCAGAAATCCTATAGGCAGGTCATCTATATGCAGTTAGTTATTTAAATCTTATAAACAGGTTTGCCTAGTGACAGATGCATATGCAAAATGCAGGAAGTCCTATAGGCATATTACCTATATGATATGCAGAATTTCAAAAACGACTTATAGACATGGTATCTATATGAAGTGCAGAAAAACCTATGAACATGGTATCTACATGAAATGCAGAATTTCAAAAGTATAGTAATTCCCTATGAACATGGTATCTACATGAGATGCAGAATTTCAGAAGTATAGTAATTCCCTATGAACATGGTATCTACATGAGATGCAGAATTTCAGAAGTATAGTAATTCCCTAAAAACATGGTATCTACCTCTTTGCATGCAGGACTGACCCTCCCTTTTTCACTAACACCCCCAACAGTTTATTACAAGATTATTACAGACCAGAATGAATAAGAAAAAGATAAGAAATATATCAGAAATTAAAGATTCCAACCAAGGAGAGCCTAATTCAGACCCCAGGTCTGAGATATGAAATAAACCAACTTCCAAAGATCAAATTTCCAAAGCCTTTCTCTTATTTGGGATGTGTCAAAGTTCCAAGGAGCTTCAAGAACTCTAGGAAATGTTTACACCCCCAAATATCATTGCAGAATCAGATTATAGTACAGTGTGGAAGGGTCAGCTCTCAAATGTCCAAGCTCAGAGGGAACTCAAAGTCCCAAGGCAAGGCTCATATGAGGGGGCAGAACTTAGAGGCTAAGAGTAAGTGCAAGTTCAATAGAGGGGAATTAGGGGAAGTCCAGCGTAAACTGGTGGTCATACCCAACAATAAGGAGTGCTGGCACACCCTAACCAGTCTACTAGGCCACATTTTGGGGGTTAAGATCCATTGAGGATCAGGTTTAGACCTGAGCAACAATTTGAATACTGCTAGGCCATAAACCTTAACTCAAACACATAGAAGGGAGTAGGGGTATGGGGAATTCACAACAAACAACAGATGCAAAGAGAGAGTAGCATATTCAATACAGAACATGAACAGGAAAGTAGCCAAGAGTGTAGCAACTGTAAAGTAAACACATAGGGATGATGTTGGAATCAAAATTAGGACATACTAGTTTCAGGATAAATAAGTGAAAGCAGAAGTCTTGTAAGCCAAATTGCAAGCAAGCAGTACAAAAGATTTCAGAAGAGAGTAGAGAATTGAAAAAGTATTGTAATTGAGAGAGTGTGTGTGTAAGAGTATGCAATTCAAAGTGTGTTCAAGTGCAGAAGGGTAGTCCCCTTTTATAGTGCAGAAAACAAGTAATAAAATGTAAGGAAATAGTTTGCAATCAATCACATAAAGTCTCCCTTTGGTTAAGGGATTCTCATTTCAAACGGGCATAAGACAATTAAGGAAAGAATTTGATTAAAACCTTTTCCAAAGTAACATAATAAGGGTAAATACACAGGGTTTATTTTAAGGCAAAAGTCCAATAGTACATGGTTTGTGAAAAATAAGGAAAGAGAATCAATCAAAAAGCCAGTAAAATCAAAGCTGCAAGCTTTGTTCGAATGAACCAAGTCAGAAAAAGGGTAAAGAAAGGTTCAATTAGGGAAAATCAGTAACAATCAAGTAAACACCATTAAAGGAATTCAGAATCAATTAGTAGTTGGCAAAACCTTTTGAAAGAAGAGTTCTCATATATAAGGCACACAAATATGTGAATCAAGAAGAGGCTGTTAAATTATTTAGAAGAAAGTTTAATCGAAGAGAAGTTCAGAATCATAAGCAAAAAGATACAGGTTCAATTTGCAGACTCATAGTGAGTCTGAGAGTTCAGGGTCCCAAAGTGGAGCCTTAACTCGAACACAAAAATCAAAATCGTCAAAGGAAACCCCCCAAATCCTAGGGTTTCAAAATTGAATCAGACATGGAAGTGAGAAAGCAAGTCATTTGTTTTAGAGTCTCAACAAAACAGATATGATAGCATGTTTGAATGACAAAGGAAGAAAAATCATGAAGAACATATTTGAGAAAACTCGGAAGCTAAACAAGTTCAGAAGAAGGAGATAATACAAACGTGAACACAAGTAGATGAAGTATGTAAGAACATAAACAAAGTCCAGTAAATAAGATCAAATAACTTAACGGTAAACACACATAGTAAAAGAGTAAAGAAAACTAAGCATGGATTAACATGAGTAACATGCATAGCAGAAAAGAAAAGGTAGAAGACATTACATGCGTAATAAAGAGAAATCACACCAGCAGGGTATGGACAAACACACATAAAGTAAAGAAGAAGAAAAATCAGAAAGATTTTTCCCAAAAAATCCTTTCAGAAACCCTAAAATCGAAGAGAAACGATTTTNCAAAAAATCCTTTCAGAAACCTTAAAATCGAAGAGAAACGATTTTGAAAAGAAACTTTTGGGGAAAACACTTTAGATGGCAAGAAAAGCATAGATACACTATAGATCTAAGCAAATAACGGTGAAAGGACCTTTAATAGCTTAGGGTTTCGGAGAAACCCTAGAAATGAGAAAGGCTTGGAAACAGGTCCGATCTTGAGTCGGAGAGGTCAAGAATCAGGATCCTCAGTCTTGAATATGCCGGAGTATGGCTGGAGGAGCCATGAAATCAAAGGTCTGAGAAAATCGGAGAGGGAATCGTCGAGGTCAGGCCTCAAAGCTTCGAACAACCCTGGCTTACTGGCGAATATAGGTGAGTACCAACTATCCATGGCCTGAGAAGCCATGGATTCCGGTGACCGGTGGTTGAAAAGGGGGTAGGAGGAGGCTAGGGTTTCGGAGAGTTTTTGAGAGGATTTGAGAGGGTTTGGGATTCAAAGGCGGCGGGCCAGGTGAGAATGAGGGATTAGGGTAGTCACCTGTGTTTAATTATGGTAGGGCGAATAGTGGTCGTTTATCCGAATGATCAACGACTAGATTTAAGAAAGTAGGTGGGGAATCGGGTTAGGTCGTTTGAGTTGGGTTAGGGGCTGAGTCAAAAGGAATTGGGCTGGTCCGAATTTGAGTTTGAAATTGGGTCAATTTTAGGCTAAAATCGAAATGTAATGGGGCTACAATTGAAATGAACTTAGGCCAAAATTTAAATTGCCAGTTTTCCCTTTTTATTTTATAAAAATAGTAAAAAATAATTTTGAAAGCAAATTAAAAGCACTGGATCCGTTAATAGTATATAAATATTAATTTAAAATATTGGAACCAGTTTCATAATTATAAAATGCTATTAAATCTTAAAGCAGGCTAAAATTGTAATTATATGCAATTTAGCTTTTAAAATACTAAATTAATTTGTAAAAATATATGAGAAGTAACCTACCTATATTTTGGTATAAATATGAGAATAAAATAAGTTATTCACCAAAGTGATAATTTTGGGAATAATTATTGAGCAATAAATCAATTTAAAAAATTGGAAAAATACTAAAACACTTGGGCATACTTATATATGTATGTGTAGACACGTGATTTTTGACCCTCCCCGAGAATTTTCACATTTTTAGCGTGAATATTTTAATTTAGGTCCAATATAGCTATTTGAACTATTTTACTTTATTTCGTGGCAAAAGAGAAAATTACAAAAATATATATATATAAATTTTAGTTTATGTATTTCTCATAAACTTGAAAAAATATAAAAAATTGTACCTTACTTTTGTACTTTATATAATTTCGAAAATTATAAAAAAATATTGTTCTATTAATGTTTTGTAGTCATTTTAATTTTTTGAAAAATACAAAAATATTACTTTATATTTATCTTTATATAAAAACGAAAATTACAAAAAATAGTTTTATTAATATTTTGTAGCTATTTTAATCTTGAAAAAATATTAAAAAAGATCTAGTTTTGTTTTAAATATTAGTCTTATTTTTGTAGTTATTTTATTTATATAGGACTAGTTGAGCAACGTCGTGTTCTTATTCTCGGGTCCGGGCAAAAGAATAATATTCGGGTTCAAATTACCCGTTTTTAGGCCTAATTTTCGGACCTAGCCCATGATAATCCGAGTCCACCACACATGGGGGACACGCGTGGGGAACACGGACGAAACCCCACACACGGGGAACCCCACCACGCGTGGGGGACACAAATCTTGAACCCCACCACGCATGGGGGTCCATTTCTCTTGGCAAAAACTACAAACACACGGACAAAGGGGGGATTTGAAAAGGGACTTGGACAGTTTTTTGAATTGGGCACTATTCATTCATCTTCTCCAAAAGGAGAAGAACAAAAAACCCTAGGAGCCTACCCAAAAGAAACGTGAAACCATCTGCGTCCACGCCCAAACACCACCATCATCCACCACGCACCAGTCCCGTCGTCACTGCCCACACGACCACTCCTCCTCCTCCTAGCTCCATCAAACCAGTCCGGGTCCTCCATTAAATCCGACGACCACAGCTGTTGCTGCTGCGTCGTCACTGACCATAACCCACGACCCCTCGTTTTGTTGAGCAACCATCGCTGCAACAGTCGACCATCCTCCTGTCCAAACTCCCTTCGTCGACCACAAGCGACGCCCAGCTCCGGTCATCTACCACCATCGCTGCCCGCTACCAGTTGAACCAGCACGATCGCCACCACCCGTCGCTGCTTCTGCCTCCTTCTTCACCCGTCACTGCCCGTCGACCCTACATCCAAACTACCAGCCCACGACCACTTCTTCTCCTTCGTCATAACCAAAAAACCAGTCCGGCGATCCTCTATTAAATCCGACCATCACTGCTGTTCCGTTCAGCCCCCTCACATCCAAATGACCACCTGGAAAAACCAGTCGCAGCCATGACTCATTTTCAGTCCGTTCGTGTTCGAGTTTCTGGCACGAGCTATTCCGTCCGAGCTTTGATGACCTTTTCTACGGTTTCCCGTTCGAGGTTATCCGTTGAGGTCGATGTTGAGGGCTGGTCCGTGGCTCTGTCCGTCTCTGTTTGTTCAGGTTAGTAAACCCCAAGTATTAGACAAGGAAATGTTACGGAATGTTCAAAGATGCAATATAGAAATTGGTATGGTAATTTTCTGCCTATGTTTCGCTGTATGCATTTTGCTTCATTTTTATGTTATGTTATTCTTGTTTATTTGATGTCATTTGATTAAGTTGTATTACGTGTTCTATGACACAGTTTGATGTTAATTGGTTCGTCCCTTCCTTTGCTTAGGTCATTCAGACAAAATTAGTATTAATACATGCTGTTACTACTCCCAAAACACTCATTCGCTAAACTCCTTTTATTAAATTTCTAACAAGTTATGGGATTTTAGTTGTAAAGAGGCTGTAAGGTTTAGTAGTGTTAAAGGCATAAAAATGGCATCCTTTTAAAATAAAAATAAAAAACGAGACAAGCTTCGCCAANGTATGTTGATCACGTTTAATAAGAAGGCCGCACGTTTTTTTCCAGCATGGTGTTATTTTAATCAAAAGCACATGGGGAACATTTGTGAAATCCAAGAAGTCTTGGAATTCCCTATGTCCCCCATGCTTCATTTTTGGGAAAAGCACACGGGGAACATTTGTGGAATCCAAGAAGTCTTGGAATTTCGTATGTCCCCCATGCTTCATTTTTGGGAAAAGCACATGGGGAACATTTGTGGAATCCAAGAAGTCTTGGAATTCCCTATGTCCCCCATGCTTTATATTTTGGGAAAAGCGCATGGGGAACATTTGCGGAATCCAAGATGTCTTGGAAATCCTTATGTCTCCCATGCCACATTTTTTAAAAAATAATAATAAAAAAAAGCATGAAAATTCAAAAGATTTTGTATGTTGTCATCATTTTTAACAGATTAAAAAAAATCGTGAAAAAGAGGAGAAAATAACAGTGTTATGAATGATTTGCTCGTCTTATGAATGATTTGCTCCTTAACAAAAGAAGATTTGTGGTGTACACAAGCTAGAGGTTGGTTATGCAATCTCTTTGATATTGTTGGGCTTCATCCCCTTACTAATGCATGTGCATGAGCAGGATATGGACTTTTCTGTGGAGCTATACCTTGTAGCTTGAGTACCCTCAGAACTCCCTTTGGTAAACTGTTTTAAGCCTCTGGCTACGTGTATGTCTTAACTCTTATTTTTGTTTGATGTTTCTAAGTAGTTTGGTATTCTATGGATTCTGACGTTGAGTTGTTGATGACTTGGTGGTTCTCGGGTGTGCATAATCCTATTTGAAATGCATTTGTAGCAGAACTCGGGAGCTAATCTACGTGATTATGCTCCATAGCCAGCCACTCTACTAAGAGGATTCTATACCATGCCTTGTTTAAATTCTTGGTACTTTCTTGTTCCAGCTCAAAAGGAACTGTGCGGTTGTTCTTGGCATGGCCCATTTCATTCCTAACTGATTAAAGAAAAACTGGCGGACTTGTAAGTAACAGAACAGTGCATAAACAAGTGCTTGTTGGTTTTACATTCTACAAGTGATCTGATGAATACATGTGTGCCCCTTCTTTGTAGATTATCTTGATTCAGAGAAGCTTCTTAGATACCAGCCCCACAAAACACAAACTTTGACTGATGCATTAGCTTACCATATCTGCTTCCACGGTCCAAAGTAGTCTGATTGGTATCTTTGAGAGGTATTCTATATCCAGAGGCGGAGCAAGGATTTGAACCTTATGGGTTCGGAATTATAGTCCTTTTAAGTTACTGGGTTCTAAATTAATAATTTGTCCATATTCATTGGATTTTTAATACAAATACAGGGTTAAAATAAAAGTTACTGGGTTCGGTCGAACCCGCAACCAACACTGTGGCTCCGCCCCTGTCTATATCAAGATTTAACAGTGAAGGAGCCATTTCCTTGACCTTTCTAGATGAGCTTATCATCACTGCTGTTGGAACCTTTGGAATGAGGAAAGCTGAAAAAATCAGAGATACTTCTCATATCCCAATCAGTGAAGGTCCTCTTGAAGTTTATATATTCTTCGACTCATTAAAAAGTATTGAATTTTTAAAATAAATTAAAATTGCATATTAGATTACGGTAGGGTATATTCTTCTCACTTAATATTAGAAAAGGAATCCAAATACTATTGATATCAAAATTCTTTACTTTCCAAATAAAAAATTTCATTTAGAAAATATTAGTACAATGATTGAACTTAATTTTTTTTTTTAAAAAGAATTCTTGTTTCAATAAATGAAATTCCATATATAGTTCTTAATTTCTTATTTGACAATCTCCCACGAACTCTTTAAGATTGCCAAGTGGCTTCATAGTAGCTTGCCACTTGGCTTAACCATAATGAAAACTTTCTTGTTTTAATATACTATATGATATTTTATTTACTTTTTTCATTTAGTGTTTTATTCAATAATAGACAAAAAGAAATGCGCATATGATCAAACTATATAGTACTTCAACAAAATATTATGGTATTTTTATTATTAAACTTCTAGTAATTATTATTTCCGTTGAAGCTTTTAGCCTTTAAAAAAATTATTTTTATTGTATACTTGTTTAAAATTCAGAAAACTTAGTCTAAAACAGATACATTAAATTATCCATTATGAAATAAATAAATTATTAAATGTATCTACATTCTAAACTTTAGGTTAAAACCTTAAAGCATATTCTTCAACTCATTAAAAAGTATTGAATTTTTAAAATAAATTAAAATTGCATATTAGATTACGGTAGGATATATTCTTCTCACTCGATATTAGAAAATGAATCCAAATACTATTGATATCAAAATTCTTTACTTTCCAAATAAAAAAATTCAGTTAGAAAATATTAGTACAGTGATTGAACTTTATTTTAAAAAAAGAATTCTTATTTTAATAAATGAAATTCCATATATAGTTCTTAAGTGATATTTCCTTATTTGACAATCTCCCACAAATTCTTTAAGATTGCCAAGTGGCTTTATAGTAGCTTGCCACTTGGCTTAACCATAATGCAAACTTTCTTGTTTTAATATATACTAGTATTAGTACTCGCACGATGCGCGGACACAAATTATGTCAAATTGTAATCTATGTTGTTTGAATTAGGTGCAAATAACCTTAAAATATAAACCTTTCATATAAAAATTATATAACATTAGATATTAATTTTGAAGCAAGATATGAAATTATTATTCAAATCTCGTAGTAGACAACTTTATTTTATTTGTAGCAACCTAATCCCTTGATTTTAGTACTTGTATTTCGTTTCGGTGTCAATATTAAAAAATACTAAATATCATGTTGTGATATGTGTTGTTTGAGCACATTATATCATATTATTTTAAGAAAATTCTTATTATCATTTTGTTTTTGACTGAAAGTCAAATATGTCTTATTCATCACATCATTTTATGCAAATTCCTTTTTATTTTTGTTCTTTTCTTATAGTTATTGTATTATTTATTATTTAATATTATTATACTATCATATAATTTTTTATTAGCTTAATAATTTAATTAATATCTTGCTTATTATCTTTTTAATAGTCTTTAATAAATATAAATAATTTATTCTTGAAATTTGGTAAATAATATAGATATATAGATTTAGATTCTAATTATTTCTTTTCCTTTTTTTTTTTTGGTTCTTTTGTTTTTGTTTCTAGCATTGCATGTATAAATCGTGTCAATTGTTACAATATTTTAATTAAAAATTAAGATTTTCAAAATCAAATACATATCATAAAAACTGCTATTTATTTGAATTATAAAATACAATTAAAAGGGTACAAAACAAGTGAGCAATAGTAATAATCTTATTCAATTTGAATAAATTTCTAAACTTCCAAAGCGACCATATTGTGCTAGTCAGAATTAATTGTGATTAATTTATATGTTAACCGAAGTTAAATCGTTTGTCTTTACGACGTTACCCTTATTAACCTAAAAAATGCGGAACCCGCCGTCTCTTTCCTCCCCACGTCGCCGGCGGTCTTTTCTCAGTTCCTGACCAACGCCATGAGCAAGCATAGACTTGGACTACACCATTGGTTGTGCTTCTCCTATCTCTCTAGAACAATAAAGAGACGTTTTACTGCTTGCCATTTACCTAGTGAAGCAATATCATGTGATGTTCCCACATCCTCCCCAATTAATAATCACAAGACCTTGTGTTTTTCACTTGCAGAGCAGTTAATACTTCGCGGGTTATTCGGTTCAGCTCAGAAAGTGATTCAGAGAATCATCAAGCAATCCTCATCAGTCTCTGAAGCTATCTCAGCCGTTGAATTCTCCATTTCTCGCGGTATCGAGCCTGATGCAACTAGCTACAGTTTTCTCATTCGACAACTCGTGGCATCTGGTGAAACCCAAATGGCTGAGGATATTTATGTATATTGCATTTTGAAGAGAGGTATTGAACCGAAAGACCAGTCTTTATTGAATTCAATGGCCATTTGTTATTGTAATTTGGGTAAATTAGAGGAAGCAAAATTGCTTTTTGATAAACTATTGGATATGAAATTGAGGCCTTGTAGTAGCACGTGTACTGCGCTTATTAAGGGATTTTGTGGCCAACATATCATCTTGGATGGGTTTGATGTTTTTGTAGTGGCTGTTGATGCTGGAGTATCACTAAGTTTCAGTTGTTACAATAGGTTAGTGGATGGCTTGTGCCATCGGGGGTTCTTAGATGAGGCACTTTATGTGTTTGATATAATGTGTGAGAGAGGTGTGACACCCAATGTTCATTTGTTTAAGACATTGGTTCTTTCGTTGTGTAAGAGGGGTCGAGTCGAGGAAGCTGAGTTGTTGAGCATGGATATGGAGTCTTATGGTTTTGTTCTGGATAAAGTCATGTACACAACTCTTATTAACGGGTATTCGAAGAACAAGAAAATGAAAATGGCTATGAGGATGTTTATTAGAATGCTTAAGTTGGGATGTGCACCGGATAAGTATACTTACAACACGCTGATGCACGGGTTTTTTAACTTGGGCATGTTGGACAAGGGTTGGGTGCTTCATCAGCAGATGGCTGAATTTGGATTAGAACCTGATGCAGTAAGTTACCAAATCATGATTGGCAAGTATTGCAAGGATCATAAAGTTGATTGTGCGTTGATGCTGTTAAATAACATGATTCAGTGCAACGTTGCTCCCAGTGTGCACTCTTATACTGCTTTAATTGCTGCGCTTTGTAAAGAGAATCGGTTAGCAGAAGTAGATGTCTTGTACAATAAGATGTTGGATAATGGATTGGTTCCTGACCATGTTTTGTTTTTTACCTTGGTCAACAATCTTCCAAGAGGGTCAGAGATTACTCTAGCATGCACATTTTTGCGGGCAATTGCCAAAAATGGTTGTGGTATTGACCTTTCTAACATCCCTAGCACTATCAGTCAAAAAGTTACTGCAGATATCATGTCTGATATTGATCATCTCTTGGGAGAAATTGTGGCAAGAAACTTANTGAGAAGACGCAGGATGCATATAAGCAGCTGGATATGATGCAAAGTGAGGGTGTCCAACCGAATCAAGTTACTTTTACTATTCTAATTGATGGGCATTTCCGAAGTGGCGAAATTGATCTTGCTGTTAGTCTCTTCAACAGAATGAATGCACAGGGTTGTTCTCCTGATAAAATTGTGTATAACACTTTAATAAGAGGTCTATGCAAGAATGGAAGGCTCATTGATGCTCTTTCAATCTCATACACAATGCTCAAAAAAGGATTTGCCCCTTCTAAAGCATCATATGAGAATCTTCTCACTTCTCTTTGTGCTAATAATTGGAGTGTTCATGCACTGAAGATATGTGAAGATATGCTAGCCCATAAATATGTCCCTTGTGGCCATAATCTTAAATTGTTAATTTGTATGCTAGATGAAGAAAATAAGTCGCATGAAGCTCGTCTTATGAATGATTTGCTCCTTAACAAAAGAAGATTTATGGTGTACACAAGCTAGAGGTTGGTTATGCAATCTCTCTGATATTGCTGGGCTTCATCCCCTTACTGATGCGTGTGCATGAGCAGGATATGGACTTTTCTGTGGAGCTATACCTTCTAGCTTGAGTACCCTCAGAACTCCCTTTCGTAAACTGTTTTAAGCCACTGGCTACGTGTATGTCTTAACTCTTATTTTTGTTTGATGTTTCTAAGTAGTCTGGTATTCTCTGGATTCTGACGTTGAGTTGTTGATGACTTGGTGGTTCTCAGGTGTGCATAATCCTATTTGAAATGCATTCGTAGCAGAACTCGGGAGCTAATCTACGTGATTATGCTCCATAGCCAGCCACTCTACTAAGAGGATTCTATATCATGCCTTGTTTAAATTCTTGGTACCTTCTTGTTCCAGCTCAAAAGGAACTGTGCGGTTATTCTTGGCATGGCCCATTTCATTCCTAACTGATTAAAGAAAAACTGGCGGACTTGTAAGTAACAGAACAGTGCATAAACAAGTGCTTGTTGGTTTTACATTCTACAAGTGATCTGATGAATACATGTGTGCCCCTTCTTTGTAGATTATCTTGAGTCAGAGAAGCTTCTTAGATTCCAGCTCCACAAAACACAAACTTTGACTAATCAATTGCTTACCATATCTGCTTCCACGGTCCAAAGTAGTCTGATTGGTATCTTTGAGAGGTATTCTATATCAAGATTTAACAGTGACGGAGCCATTTCCTTGACCTTTCCAGATGAGCTTATAATCACTGCTGTTGGAACCTTTGGAATGAGGAAAGCTGAAAAAATCAGAGATACTTCCCATCTCCCAATCAATGAAGGTCCTCCTAAAGTTTATGTTCCAATTGTTATTTTCTCTGCTTTGTGCCAAGGTGAGAGTAGTATTCCGTGACAGATTGTAAAGTGAGGGGGATTGGTCTTTAAGAGGGGAGTAGTATTACCAATTACATCCTCTGTACATAAGTTTGACTTCAGTCCTTGGTAGTTGGTTGTGCTGTCTCAATACCAATTCCCTTTTAGGCTGCCCCAATCCCTTCCTGTGATTATTCATATCTTTGCTTCTATCCTATACCTTCCACAAAAATAGTTAAACCTGATCATCAAAAAAGTTAGTCTTTGATGTTCTGAGCAAAAGTCAAATTTTGTCTAAACATGGAAGAAAATTTTGTTTCGTACTGACTTTTTGGTCTTGTACTCATTCATTGTCAACAGCTCTCCATATTAGAGGCCTACCTTTTATGCTATATAAGTGAGAAAGCCTTTCTAGTTCACTTTCTTTTCCTTCAATGTCGTTTCAACTTATCTAGTATGAAATTTTCTCCTGATATGCCCTGTATTGATGGAAATACCTCTTCTCTTTTGCCTCCAGCAGAGAGGATTGACTGCTTGTCAGCCTGTTTCTTTAAAGCTATCTTGGTTTTTTTTTTCCAGTCAGTGTCTTATTGGTTCCGAAAAAAGTGCTCTGGCAATTTTTAGTACACATTGTCAACCGTTAGTGACTATAACTACCAGAATATAGAGTTTTTGCATAAAAGTCTGCTTCAGAAGCCACTTCCATATAGAGCCTAGTTACAAATCATAATTCTGCGGATGCAATTTAGTTTATTATGTGTAAGTCCAACGTCTTCCTTATACATTCTTTTGTGTGTAGCTATTATGCAGGTATGAGCGCAAGTCAGTGCTCCGATTCTTGGAGACTTTCGAAAACTATAGGGTGGAACGCTGCTTGCATTTATGCCGGGAGCATGGAATTGTAGATACAGCTTCTTTCTTGTTAGAAAGGGTTGGTGAATTGGAAGTGTCATTTTGCTTGTTATATCTTCGCTTGATGAAAAATTCATCCTGCTTGATACTGCCATTGAAAGTGAACACTGTGATGCGGCTCCCCAGCATTTCAAAGCTATTTTTTAAGCAAGAAAGAGGTTTTAGTTTCTTCTAATATTCTTCTTCTATTATAAGGTTTGTCTTGTTGGTGTTACTTCAACATCTTATTTTATTGCAGGTCACTGACATGCTAGATATTTTGCACACATATATTGGACTGTGCCAGAGGAACAGCCACCCCTTTGGACACCAATGAAGCAGAGTCTGTGGTTTCAATTTCCTCCCTTTTTGATAGTAACTGTAGAAACGAAATCAAGTTCTTCAGTTCAACTGAAATCGGTAGAAGAGGGTGTGTACACTTATGAATGATCTTGAAGAATCAGCTTTGTTGTTGTGAAAAGACTTGGCAATGCAATCATGTGCATGATGCTTGTCTCACACAAAACGACTAGCAGAGAGAGGTGTATCAATTTGTAGCAGATGTTTCATGTGCAATAATGAGGAGGCAAGTAACACATATATATTTTGCAATTTTTATTTTGTAGTTTAGCTTCTTTATTAGTGTAAATCTTGCTTTCCTTAACTGCTCTTGTTGGCAAAATGTGCAATTTCTAATTGTCAAAAAAAGTGTAATTTCTGCACCGCAGTTCCCTACTTAAAAAATCAAAATATGCCAATTGACGAGAGAACATCGCGGTTCAAATTGTTGGGCCTGTTCTAAGCACGGCTGGCTTATCAAGATTTAAACTATTTCAGGCTAATGTTGACATTAGTTGAACTATTGACTATGGTTCATTATTGAACATTGCAGCTTTTCATTTTTTTCATATGTGATTACCTTTTAGGTCATCACTTGTTTAAAACGAAATTCTGTGTTCTGAGGTCTTGAAAATCTCATTTAGTGTCACCTCAATTTACGTGCGCAATCTGGGAGCGTAACCGAAAAGCTTAAATATGAAATTCTGTGAAAAATGATAAAATTTGGTTATAAAATGAGTTAGTTTGACTTCGGTCAATATTTTAGGTAAACGGATCCGGATCAGTGATTCGACGCTCCCGGAGGGTTCGTAGAAAACATGGGACTTAGGCATATGCCCGGAATCGAATTTCGAGGTCCCAAGCCCGAGAAATGAATTTTCAAAGAAAATTATTTTCTGAAATTGTTTAAGGAAATTTGAAATGAAATTTGATTGGAACATGGTGGTATCAAGCCCGTATTTTTGGTTTCGATGCTCGGTACAGGTCTTATATATAATTTAAGACATTTCTGTAAAATCTGGTGAAAACGGATGTCATTTGACGTGAATCGGGCTTGAATTGCGAAAATTGATGTTTTACGAAGTTTGAGAAAAATTCTTTGATTTTGAGGTCAATTTGTTGTTATTGAGTTATTTTGGCGATTTGATCGCACAGATAAATTCGTATGATGTCATTGAGTTAGTACATATGCTTGGTTAGGAGCCCCGAGGGCTCGGGTGAGTTTCGGGTAGGTTCCGGGATGCCTTGGGTCTAAAAACACAGTTGTTGCAGGTTCAGAGAAATTTGCGGGTCTCTGAACCCGCTAGTGCGGTCCGCGAGAAATTGTGTGCAATCGCGGAAGGGCCAGTGCGGTCTGCGTAAGGTTCGTGCAGTGCGCGGTGGAGACTGTGTGGTCGCAGTCAGTTTTGTGCGGTCCGCGCAGCTTTTCACTGGGCTGTGCGGCCACGGTCAGTTTTGTGCTGTTCGCACAGGGCTCTGGACTGCAGTACCCTCAAGAAGAACTGTGTGGCCGTAGTCCATTTTATGCGGTCCGCACAGAGCACCTGAGAATAGTATAAATAGACGAGATTTTCAGTTATTTTTTCATTTTTCAAACCCCAAGAACATAAGAGGCAATTTTTCAAACAACCTTTCTTCTCCAAATCAAGTGAAAGTCATTTTTAACTAGTTTTCTTCAATCATTAACATCTTTTAACATAATTTCAACTTCAAATCAATGATTTTCATGGGGAAATTGGGTGTTTTGGGTAGAACCTAGGTTTTTCAAAATTGGGAATTTAGACCTCGATTTGAGGTCCGATTTCAAAACAAATCATATATTTGGGTTTGTGGGGGAATGGGTAATCGAATTTTGGTTCGAACATCGGGTTTTGACCATGTGGGCCCGGGGCGATTTTTAACTTTTTGGGTAAAACTTTGGAAAACTCATTTTTATGCATTGGGGTTGATTCATTTAGCGTTTATTGATGTAATTAAGTAACTTGTGACTAGATACGAGTGAATTGGCAGAGGAATCAAGGGGTAAAGCTATAATTGAACCTTGAGTTGTGTTTGTGGCATCGAGGTAAGTGTTTGGTCTAACCTTAGCTTGAGAGATTAGGAGTTGAGTCTTATTTTCTATGTGGTAATTGTTGAGTATGACGTATAGGCATAGTGACGAGTATGACCGTAAGTCTTTTAATTGTGAATATCTTGATTTCGTTGTATCTTTCATGCCTTGGTGATGATTTCTACTTGTTGTGAAAAGCTTGTGGAAGGTAATTGTGACCTTTGAACATCGAGGAACATTGGCTCAAGTTATATTACAAATTGTGAAAGCATATGAGACGATTGAACCCTTTGGAGCCTTGGCTTAGGTGGTAAAGTGAGTTATGAAACAAAAGTGAAAGAAAAAGAAAGAGTTATTAAATTGTTCCCTCGCCGGGATATTGTTGCTTTGTTGATTATCTCCCTTGTCGGGATGTTGTTTGATGTTGTTCCCTTGCCGAAATTTAATTGTTTAATTGTGTTCCCTTGCCGGGATTTCTATTATTATTTTGGTTATTCCCTTGCCCCTTTGTTTGTGATTGTTGTTTGAGTGAGGAAGAGTGTTAAAGCACGAAGGATGATGTCGTGCATTGTTTGTTATTGTGAGGAAAGAGTGTAAAGCACGAAGGGTGACATCGTGTCATACGATGTACCATTCCATACCGATTTTCATTGATTATATGGTGAGGAAAGAGAGTAAAAGTACGAAGGATGATGTCGTGCACATCTTTATTATATGATTGATTTGGTGCGGACGAGAGTAAAAGCACGAAGGGTGATGCCGTGCATATTGTTGATTTCTGATACTTGTTGATATTCTAGTTATGTTGTTTCTTTCCTTACTTGATGCTTTCTATTCGGAACTGTTATCTCCTCCACAGCATGTTTCCCCCTCCCACATTGACTAGTTATTTTCGGTATTTCATTTTCACTGTATATATATAT